AACGGGCCACGCTTGCCGCGAGCCGAAGCGTGCAGCAGCTGACGCGAATTACGGGAACTCTCATCTTTACAAAAGCGAATTGGCTCGGTAGAGTAAACACGTAGCGTTAGGTTAGCAGGTTAGCTCGTTATTTCACGGTGTACGCGTTAATCATTGCCTGTTCGCACGATCCGTACGAGGGATTTTTCGTGGCACGGAAATTGAGTCGATTAGCCGGTTGAAAAGTTCGTTTCCAGGCGTGCGGAGGAACGTTTGTATCGCGAGCAAGGGCTGAATCTCGGTTACGTTGCTCGTCTAATAATTCAACCAATGCGCCTTCACGGTCCGTTTGCTCGATATTGTCTCATCGTAATGACGACTCGTTGACCGCGATATGTTTCCGGAAAATCGCACGCGAAACGATCGCGATCGACGAACATTTTGACCGATCATGGATCGCGGTGAAGGTTTTATCCCCCTTTATTTCCTGTGTCTATAATTCAAGTAAATACCCAAGCATCCTCTTATCCATGCAAGGGTTAACCCGTCAACCTAATTTTCTACAATGTTTCAAGCTTACCGAGAAAATAAATGAAAAATCCGCGAATCGAAGAAAATTGTGGTATCAAAAGCGGTAAAACAGCGGCGCTCGTACGTTTCTTTCGCTACATCCCTCTTTTTTTCATGTAGCTACGCTCGTTTCGTATTCCCGTGCGACCATCGGCCACGACGCCACCGTACATTCTAAGAGACTGACTCATCCGCGTGCAGTGCCTCTTCTTCATCGACACAGGACGCTCTACGTCTGGTCACGTCCCGTGGCACGGAGAGCTGCATTACGCACCCTTCGTACACGCTTCTATGCGCTGCGCTCTTAACCAGGTGCCTGTGATGTATTATCTCTGGCGCGCAATGAGACCTGCTAACGCGGAACACGTCCGCTCTCGCATTACAATGAAGAAATGACGACGGCAATAAGCAACGGAAAGGGACGTTGGCGAGAGGAAATCCTCGATAATTCTATTCGCGATCCTTCGAATCCTACCTGACACTCGAGATCATGACTCAAACAGTCGGGGTATTTTTAAATATTTTTAAATATTTTTAAATATTTTTAAAGCGTCCATTTTTAATCCATAAACAGCGGAGCCTGGTTCAATCGAGTCCCAAATTTACAAAACCTATGAGTCGTTTAATGCAAAACTGATGTAAGTCAATTTTTTGCCTATTTAATTTAACACCGCATCTCGAATGCTTGAGCATCATTCTCCTTTTGGCAAAAGTGATGTAAGCATATTTTCATATGTTCAAAGATAGTATCAAGCTAAAATTAAATGAACAATTTTTTAACGAAAGAGTTTGAATTTTTCAAGAAACAGTGCAGAATTTAAAAAATTAAAATTGGCGCTGTCTCTTTGGTCCGCCGTCCAAGGGTTAATGCTAAAATTCCCAAGTTTCATCCCTAATACTGATCAAAATGCCATCGGTAGCATAATTTCTGACATTCTTCGCGAAATTGAAAGTCTTCTCGGTTTCACCCGAGTGGACGGATCATCCATCACCGAGGATGATGTCTTTCGAGATCAGTGGACCGGGAGATCGCGACGAGATGCGATTACAGCTGATTCGTTGGTCGGATCCGGGCGCGTGTGTGGAACGGCCGATAAACGAGCGGTGTGGTTCGCGGCCAATGGCATAAATCTCGGTTCGCGAGGCACGTATGTGCGTGAGGTACGAGCCACGCACTGGGCGTGTCGCACGCAACGCCTGGCACGTGGATAGCTGGATACGCATCGACGGCTTCTCTCGTGCTTGCATGAATCGTGTGCACTCGACTGAGTATGTGCAGTGCACCGCGTTGTTTCGCGCGTTTACACGCGATTCCAGATATGCACCGCCTTGTCTCGCTTTCCGGCGAGAAATTTCAGAAAAACGCGGACGAAACGGTGAATTTCATTAACACATTCGCTACCAGAGTCTGAGAAAAAAAATTTTGCACCACAGCCCAGGATATATTTTTTGTTAGACATGGTTCCTTTTAGGACTGAAAAATGTAATTATTTCTAGACCAAAGACATCTTACATCTATTTTATTATATTTAGCCCAACAATAGTGTTTATTTGCAAAGTTGCAACACCCCAAATTTGTGGGAACAAGAATCGGTCCTTCTTGAGTACCAAACAATGAGCCTCGATGAATAGTCTAAGAGAAATTATTATGATTTCTAACTCTTTCGTTGTGATTTATATTGCAGAGAATTATTTTTGTCGAAAGAATTCGCTAATTTTGAAATAATTTTCTTTTGCACTAATTTTCGTATGAATCAGCAAGGTGACGGACAGGAAGACAGGAAAATGAGTAAAGAAAAAAAAGGTAAGATTTGCTGGTTCGAGTTAGCAGGAGTCGGCCCTCCTGAGCGGCGTCCTGGTACGGAGGCTTGCCGGATACGCGTTCCCTGCATCTGTAACGAGGGATGCACTTCTCCGACGCGGTGCGGCGCGTCGGTGGCAGCGTCGTTGCGCACGATGAATAAAAGCTCGACTCGTCGTGTATCGGCGGTCTGGCGCGCTCTCGCGCGTCCGCTACTTATCCAGCCCGGGGCATTGAAATGCAATCCCTCGCGCGGATGATTTATACCTCGCCAATGCCCGCCCGCGGGGCAGGATGTCGCACGTCTCTTCTTTATGTCTCTATCGTTCGCCTTCGAAAATATCCCGCAGCGGCGAAGCGCGTTACGCTTGACACGTACGTACCAGCACGATCGGCGCCACCGTTCCGCCCGCGGATCGAATCCGAACGATCGAGTGCAATCGATGGATGCTAACGAAAGATTCGAAGTTTCTTCGCTCGCATCGAAGCATATCTCCTTCATTTTTATTTCACAATTCGTCTCGATGATTATGGGATGCCATTTTAGATGGACGTGTTGTGAAAAAAAAAGAGTTGGATAAAATAGATAATTTTGGTCGTGTGCGAGCAATCGGTCACATGTAACAGTTATTGCTTCTAGTGATGGAATAACAATAATGTTTTGGTACAAGTAAGCTGGGGCAATGTTCTTTAATTAATTGTAAGTGCGATGATATTTTGACTGTTAATTAATGAGACTTTGAGTAATTATCGAAACTCGACTGCCTGCAAGAGATAAGATACGTGTCGAAATCACCGAAGAAAGAATAAATACAAGATTTAAATTCTAATCCCGTTTGTTAGGTGCTCGATTAATCTACACGGTCTGTTGACCAATTTCCTGTTCCTAAATTTAATATTCTCCGTGGCTGTTGCTTGTAGGTCAGTTAGTCGAATACTTTAATTCTTAACCATCGATCACTTATTGCATACTCAAGACACATAAAAATAAAAGTGCTCTAATTCTTAACGTATGTGTATTATGGAACACCATCCATGAGGTTGGACGCGAATTAAACAAACCAATCACGAAATGTCAGATTTTTACAGGCGTAACCTCGCCTTTCGAACGAATCAGCGGCGAACTATTTCGCGCGGGGTTCGTTCAGAAATTCGGCACGCGGTCGTACGAAACGGCGATAAACAACGCCATTGCCACGAACGCGATCCGAATATCGATTCCAAGTTCACGAAACGGAGTAACGAACCGAGGGGACTCGTGACTAAAGTCTCGGGAGAAAGTCGAGCGAGGTGTAACTAGTCGTAACGAACTATTCCTTTGTTTTCGATTAAAATTCGAACGTCATAATTACGTGGGAAGCCCGGCCACAGTATCGGGAAAACGCGAGGCGTCGACAAGTATCCGCCGCGATTACGGACTCGATCGAACGAGAGAACGTACCCTGGCGATTCGTTACGCGAGCGGGTCGCGTTCGCTCTACATCCGAACGCATTAGAAACGGTCGAGCGTGTAATAAGCGGAGACCGAAAAATTAGCATCTGCCGGCCGGGAGACAATGCCTGATTTGAATAACAATGTTCGCTACCGTGTGGGCTTCTAACTCTTAACTATGGGTTCTAGACGCGATGCGAGTCTGCATATCGCGGCTCGCATACTCTCTTACCGCTCCGCGGATGACAATGCGTCTACCTCCACACAATTTCCTCCCGCGGTCGTGTTGCTCCCGCGACTCCATTAACGAAAAATAAAAAGAATAAATAAAAGATATTCAACTTTTCGAAGCCGTGTTCGATCTTTTCTCGTGTTTTATAGTACCGGTTTCGAAACAACTGCTTACGAAACAGAAACAGATCTCTTAATATATTCTTGACGGGGTTGATACTGGTAGATAATACTGCAATGTTCGCCGTTTGTCTGCGATGTTTCTTGTAACCGTGATCAAGAATCAACCGAGTTATTTCAGTTTTGTGTCTTGGACGGGTTTAATGATATGAATCTCGAACCACGCCCTTCCTCAATTAAAATTTCAAAAACATAAGAAATCGTTGAACGCAAAGTCAATTTTATCAGGTTACTGCATATCAAATGGCAGATTTCGAAATGTACACTAATACGATTTGATGAAGCAAAACGGTAGATACGTATAATCCAATGTTTAAACTTACTATTATACAAATTCATTAACCCTTTGACTGTTATCGGACGCGCATCTGCGTCCATATATTATTTCTTGTATATATTAATCATAATTAAATAAAAGTTATCAACGCATATTACTAATTACACACCATATGTTATCACATTATAATGATATGACAAAACAGTGAAAAAGGAAAACAAATGAAAAAATAAACTGAGAAATGAAATCGAATAATCTTGATTCTTATTTCGTACATACAGAACGTTCAAGCCTAGAATCTTCAGCAGTCAAAGGGTTAAAAAAAATCATAAATTACTTCCTGTAAAAACATGCTTAATGGCAACGCACGTATCTGTACTGTGTCCTTCGCGATAGAACGCACGCGAGACGCAGTTAAAACGCTCGCCACCCAACAACCCTAGATCAAAGCTAGATCGTTCATCGAACAGCTTCCGCAATTACCAATTAATACGAGCGTACGTGTATTGTAAAAAATATCACGGACTTACCTGAGTGCCAAGAAGCGGTAGCTAAGCCGTGCTGCCAGTTAAGCGTAACATAAGTATGAGCCGTTGCGAGCTGTATACGAGGTCCTCATATCGATGCGCAGATGTCTGACCCTGAAGTGTCTTCACCCTCGGTCGACTCCTGCTGCCACGGTTCGTTCGTTGGCTGTGTGTTGTCACATCACGAGCCTCGTTACACCATCAAACTGACCGCCGGTCACTTCAGGTCCGTGTGTGCCCCTGTGACGGTGAGACGAATATAGTTTGTGCGTGACCAGGGCGGTAAATGTCATCTGCTGATGCACGATCGTGACACGCACAACTGACACACACACACACGCGCGCGTGTGTTTGTACAACGCGTACAAATAAAACGAAATTCCAATCGCGAACACCTACCGTATGATAACCGATTTAACGAACGTGACGATGCTCGCGATCCGACGTCCGAATACACACTGAGCACGATAAGGCATGTACCGTGTTTCGAAAAACACCTTCACGATATTCGGAAACTGTTTACATGGATCCTCGGTATGCGCGACTGCTGCTCGACTTTATAAACACAGATGGGACGAAGTCTGGTTGAAAGTTAGAAATCTAATGTATAAGTTCCCTTAATATTTTTGAAATTAATAATTTTTGCTATTGATTTGAAAATAACGTTTCCGTTTTGCTTTAACCCTCGAACGACGGACCATGGAGAAAGCCTTATTTACATATAACTTTAGGTTAATATACGTTTTGTAAGTTTCGGTCACGATTGACCCAGACTCCGTCGTTCAAAACGCTCCCAAAATGGCGGACCATAGAGAGAGCCCTAATTTTAATTTAATTTTGTATTTCATTTTCTAAACTTTACAATGTTCTTTTGAAAATTATTCTTCCAATATATGAAACCCTTTCGTTTAGAAATTATACAGTGTTCAGTTTAGAATTTCATGGTAAGTGTTCAAATACTTTCGCGAGTCACTGTATATTGTATACGTTTTGTAAGTTTGAGTCAATCTTGACCCAGGCTCTATTGTTTAGAAGTTAAATAATATTGAAATTTATCTTTATCGTAACTAAGAAAGTTCGAAAGATAAGGATCTCTATAATAAGATCGCATGTTTGAACGGAATTATACAACGTAAAAGTTCGGTTTTACGGGGTCGTAAATAGCCGCCGGTGTGCACGGTAGCTCGTTACAGTTTATGACGAAGCTCGCGGGACAGTTATGGTTAACGCCAACGATGTCATGTCGAATAACGCGTGGGTGCGAGCGGCCATTGTTCCAAGGTGTCGCCTTCGTAATTTCTCACGACCGGAAAGGAGCAGACTCTTCCCGATGCCGTCGTTCGGACGCGTATCGCTCGCATTTTCGAGCGGAACGACGCTCAAATAAAACGCGTTTCCAGACGTTGTTTGCGAAGGATAAAATTTTAGCGAATCGCCAGGGTGCTGCGGAACGTCGATGCGAACATAACCAATAAACTCTGATTAGTGTCCGAGCGTGTGTATTTAGAATGAACGTGGAGGAAACAGAAGCCGATACTGCCGAGCGGATTTACAGTTCGAGCCGACAAACGTTGCTCTAACGCTGCTAAAAAGAGCAATTCCTTCGGTCGGCTTCTTAGATCGTTGGAAAACGCGTCCTAAGCACACCGTCCGACAATGGACGATGATCACCTTTCCTGCTGGCCGAGTAAGCGTAGCATTTAGGCCGAAACAGGTGCCCGCTCGGCCGGGACTATAAAATCGGAACGTTCCAACAGGTAGGAACGGATAAGATAGAAGCTTAGGGCACTTTCGTGTTTACCCGACGAACGAATCACTTTAAGCTTTCATTTTACGGTTTTATTGCGATCTTACGATGAAAAAGGTCGCCGCGATATCCAGGGAAGAAGCGTTTTTTTCTCGTTCCTATACACTTTCCGTCACGTTCGACCCCGATCCTACGTCTACCCTTTCTACCAGCTTCTTTTTCGTTCCAATCTCTCTCTACTCTCATGATCGAACATTATCGTTAATCGACACGATGAATTTACATTGCCGATTCGGCGGCTGGCATTTCATTCCTCCTCTGTGGACGAGGATGCTTAAATTTCTCGTCACTCTCGATCGGATAAGTTCTTTTACCCCTTCGATGCATCCGCGCCACGAAGGTCGCGTCGTGTTTCGAGAAGCTGCCGGATCGAACTCGTTCACCAGAGTGTATCAGCTTACTTAGTCGTAGATCGTGCCCGCCAGGCCTTGTTGCCAACATTTATTTTCTTCTTATTGGCTATGTACTGTCGATTTCTGGACTACCTAATCGTAAATCACGGTGCTCGGCCTGTGTGTACCTGCACTCTTCGCTGTACAAGCTGTAACACGACGATCGGCGTATAACAGCCGCCACGTATACGGTGCACGGGGATAAGGACGATTCGATAAGAACGATTAACGCGACGACGATATTAATAAATATCCTAGGCGCAGATTGCTCGCTATCGCGGTTTAACACCTAATTTTCTCTACCCTCGAACTTTATAGGAAAAGAGGGTTATCGTTGACTTACTACCGATTTGTTTTACACCTCTCGATCATGTATTGATTAATTGCAGAAGTAAATTACTCATTTTGCAAAGTTGTTTCAACACATTAAAGGATGATAAAAAATATCAATTAAGTACATAGTGCTAGTTCTGCAGGAGTAGCGCGCGTTTTCGCCTCGCTCTGGCGGGCACCGAGAGAGCGGCAGGTCTCGATCTCGATGGAAAACGGTTTCAAGGTTCCGCGCGAGCTTTCCGCGCGCCAAGTAACGAGGGCGCGAAGCGCGTCTCCGCCGCTTCGACTAGGTCAAAACGCTTGCACAAGAGGCAACATCCTCGCGGACGATGTGCACACACGGTACGGGGCGACACGCCGCGACTCGACGAAAGGAAAAGTATATGTATCCCGCGATGAGAATGAAAGCGGAGGTTATCGAAAGGAAAGAGTGAGAGAAAATAATATGTATCGCGAGATTCGACTTTGTTGGCAAGGACCCACGCCCGCATTGTGTTTCCCGTCCAACTTGTCGTTCTTGCCCGTTTCATTGTGCTTCTTCCTCCTCTGTTCAGCCCCTTGCCGCTCGAGCAAACGGGCACCGGATTAGGTGGGCAGACGCGTATGACTCACGGTGCCCGTGCTGAAGCAAGTGAGATTTTCTTGCACACAGAGAGTCGACGCCCTAACCCACATAAATCCGTGCCATTAGCTGGCCAGGAAAGGCCTTTTCTCGCACCTATCCGCACGCGAGAAGGCACCGCAGTCTCCGGCGAGCAGAGTGCACCGAGGCGAGGTGGGAGTTCGATCGACCCTTTGTTCGCCCGCGACGCTTGGAATCTCGACTGGCGTAATCGGGATTCTTTTATTAAGTCATTCAGCGCCGATGATGCACGATTGCGGAGGAGGCGTGCTATTATACTTGTAATCGAGGGCGTTGCGCTTCGAGTTCAAAGCAGATGCGTAAGCGTGACGAAAGCGGACACGTAAAGGATTTTGGCGTGTCAGTGAAATGCTTTTGGTCCATTTTCCGTCGATCTTACTATCCACTGGACTATACTTAACCTTTCTTACTATCCGTCTCATATCCGCTTCTGATCTGCTTACAATTTCTATAGCGCCTAAAAGTCGAGGCCATCGATGTTGATAAATATATATAGCATTTTAATCAAACTTATCAGAGTAAAACAAATTTTTCCTTCAATATGTATTGCTCAAGACAGGACATATTTAGTCGCGTTCTTTTCATTCACGAAGAAAGAACCCTTCATGGAGAACGAACCCCCTTCTGTTATGAAAAAAAAATCAAGGAGCGTGGGTGTGTGTACCAAGCGGTCATTCTCCCTCAGTCAACGCGCCAGACAATGCTCCTCTTTTGTCAAGTGCAAAGCTTGAACGATGTTTTTCCATTTGGAATAAGAGATATTTGCTTGTCTAATTGATAATTTCTCCCACCATACCGCTATGACACAATTAATTGATTAATTTAAATAGCTCAAATAGTAGAAATCGTTATTATTCAAAAATCGGGATCGCTTCACTGTCGAAGAGAAGACGCGATGAATGAATTTTTCAACGAACCATCATTAGCGTCAACGGAGAAACGGCTGGATCATCGGGAAGGATCGAAGGGAAATCACAAGGCGATCGAAGCGGGTCTGGATCACGGAGTAAAAGGGACCACGTGGAACAATGGGCAGCACTGTCAAAGAGTTGGTCTCGCTGTGCCGCGGCTCGAAGGAGATCCGATAAGATAGGTGTAACTCGTCTCTTTCTCTGTCTCGCGGGGCAACCATTCATCGGCGCCGTGGTCGTGGGTACCTCTTTACCCTTTTCACAGTGCGCCGTATTAGAGCCATTGTGTTATCTGTCATGGCCGAGATATCCGAAGGGCCAACATACACCGGCGACGGCTTTTGGTGCCTCGGCAAAGGAACTAGTCGTGTCAGAGGCGTGAAAAGCCCTCGCGTGGGTGGCACGAGGCAGCTCGATACATCCGGCTGTTCCCTTTACACCCTCCCGAAAACCGACCTCGCCTTCCTTTTCTCCTTCATTACGTCAGAGAAATTTTATCGTTTTCAATAATTTTGTTCATTTGTAATTTGCATCACTTCAAAATAGATGAAAATATTATTTTCGAATATAATAAATATAATTCCACGATAGAGTATTCGATGATGGTTAAAAATGGCATCAAGCTTCGGGCATTCACCCGACGCGTCAACAGTCGCCAGTCGAGTCGGTCTGAAGCCTGGATACAGAGGTAACGAGCCTGTCACACGGTCGACGACAGAAAGACACGGCGTTACCTATCGCGCCTACTGTCAATCCGTCAGCGACTCGGCGCGCTGTAATTTTCACACCGACAACGATCGCGAGCACGACGATCGAGCGAGCGTAATTCTCGGAACAAAAGGCAATCGACGGTGAAAAGTCGAATAGTTTTCCCCCGTGTCGACCCAGTGAGAGAATTGATTTCAAGCTCACAGCCACGGTGCACACACGTAGCCGTGACAACGGTGAGCAGGACAACGCGACACAGGGAGGAGCCACCTACCTACCTACGTGCTCACCTATCTATCCGTGCGTCCATCTATCTATCTATCTACCTACCTACCTACCACCTACCCACCTATCCGTTCGTCTATCGCGCGTGTTACTTTCGCACACCGAATTGTAAAAGGCCGTGTAACACTTGCAACGAAAACGAACCGACATCGCCTGTCTGCTTGCCTGCCTGCTTGTCGAGCAACAATAGCAACTCGAGCTCTGACGTTTCTCATGACGATTAATCCGCGTACAATGCACGATTGCGCCAGGACAATTAGCGACAACGCTTTTGCCAGGTACGAGGTACAAGCGGACGAAAAAGACGAGGGCTCACGCACGAGCACGCACAATCGAGGCTTCGTTACGCGCGTGCCTACCG